CTTTAAGTCCTTGTAACCTGTCCTCGACCAAGTACCTTGATCTTCACCAAAAAGCAGGCAAGGAAAGCAAAAGAGGGAATTCTTCTGGATGCTCGCCGTTAGCCATTTCTTTTTAGCAAACCACTCAGCATTAAACCCGCGGTTTACTTTGCCCGCAGTCTGGACCATTTGGAAATCCGGTGGATGGTGGGCACCGAGGCGCTTTACCTCCAGTTTCTCTCCGAGACTAAGTGTCTCAAATGTGTGCTCCAGTAAATGGTCAACTTCATTCATTTTCTTTCCGTTTTTTACTTATTTTTAATCGCTGGTGATGTTAGCTATATGCTGCTCTCTCGTCTTCTCTTCACACTACACGTGACGTTTCGCAGCACTGCACACGTGACATATTTACAGCCAATCAGTTCTGAATAATGTGAGCTGACGTATGGTGGGGATGGCAGCTCCGTGCCCCTTTGGCCTTTTTTTTTTTTGCCACACACATTCCATTGAAAAATACTCTGAGCATGCGCAGTGTAGTTTTTACAGTCACCGTTCACTTAAACAGTGAGAGGGAGGGGCAGAATCAGGTTTTGTCCCACATGGCTCAAAACGGCACTGTAGACACTAATTAGAAGAACACAGACTAAAACAGCAATGTACAGACGAATCAGATGATTAAAAATGACCTTAAAATATATTTTATATATTTTTTTATTTCTTTTTTTGCATCTTTTTGCATTTTTTGTTTTCATTATGTGTAATACTTTCTGCTGACACTAGGTGGGGCTGTGCCCCACCTGCCCCTAATGACCAGTCGCCACTGGTCATGCGGTACCCGGAACGAAATGGACCAATCCCGAAGAGCTATGGCCACACCAGCAGCGGCGTGTTCCTCCTCCAGAGGTTCGAAGAACCGGCATTTCACAGACGAAAGCTTACAAAACATTGCCCAGTTTGAGGCCGGATATGCACAGCTTGTTTGGACCGTTTGGAGCAGGGGAAGATCTGGGTATACAACCTGTAAGTTTGCATTGTTATTTGTGTATTTATCAAACAAGACTGTTTAAATGTGTAAACTGTGTTGGACTGCTAAGCCATTGACACAGTGCTAACTGTGCTAACTAAGTTGCTAGAGTTTCCATATATCAACTCTAATATCAGCAGATGGCCTTGCATACATGTATCTCATAGCAGGAGAATGTCTGCATTCACACACAAAATACCTATTGACAGTATACTCCGGGTGATTTGCCGGTCAGTCGCGAAACGTAATTACATTATAGCTGGCGTAGCGATCTAACACACGGAGCTAGAGCTAGTTTTGGTCGGAAAAACATTTTTGTGATGCTACGTTGCTAGCGTTTAAATATATCAACTACAATGTCAGCAGATGGCCTTACATGTTTGTCATGGCAGGAGAATGTCTGCAGTCACACACACGGAATACTCATACAGTATACTGTACTGTGATTTACCGTACATTGTGACCGTACATATACTGCATGTAGCTAACGAAGCTAGCTGTATGCTAGCGCAAAACAATGTATTCATGCAAGTTACATTGTATGGTAGCAGAATACCCGTATACGATTGCAATTATAAACACGTTATTGCTAGCCTAATATGAACCACTAGCTTTTGTTCATAGTAGTTTTATTACACTGCATTATAGTTGCCTTTCCTCCAAGCTAACGTTCATATCGTGTTAGCTACCAAGGTAAACAAAGCTAGGTTAGCATATTAGCAGGCAAGCTGTTCATTACACAACTACTACTAACGAATCTAAAACAACTATGTTTCTCTAATATTTTGTGATTTGCATTTGATTTTGTCCAGCCAGATCCTGGCGGACAATCCATGACGGGGAAGGGACTTCGACTACTACTGAGGGTGCTAAAAGGCACCGCACCGACTGTGCGCAGGCAAGATGCGAGGAGGAGGAATGAATGATATACCGTGTGTATATATGTATATTTATGTTCATTTTGTACATTTCTAAAAATAAAGTTTAATGGAAATACTTAGTAGGCCTATCCTTTCTTCCCTGAATTCATATATAGCAAACCATGATTTGATTTCTCATCAAACAGTAGTAGTTTATAACGGGTAAAAATAACTTACTCTTTGTTATGAGAGTAGCTCGTAGGCCACAACGGAAAGACAAGGAGACATACACGAGTTTACAAAACCACGGCACATTTATTGTGGTAAATGCAGAGATAGGTGGTTGAGAGGATCGCAGAGTTAGTCTTCCTGCAGCCGCTTTGGAGAGAGACTGTGTCCGGAGGTGTCCGTGATCGTGCTGATTAGCCTCTTCAGCTCCACCCCATCGTAAGACAAAGGCCCTGGGGCCGTCACACTCTTCTATAACAACAGTTAAAAATATATATGTATATAAAATATACCGCAGTACCGACGCCATGATAAGACTGATGTTACGCTGAGAGCAGCCGGGAAAAGCACTGACATGGGCGCAGCCTCTCTGGTGGTTGACTAATCAGAACGAGTGGCCGAGCTGACCAATCGGAGCACACTAGGCTCACAGAGAGGGGGGGGCAAGAGCTCCAACGAGTCATTTAGTGGAGAAAGTGAATACTGCTGAATACACATGCTTGACAGAGATGCTGTATGCGAAACCAATGTAAGTTTGGAAAATTGCACAGTATAAATCTATTTTAGTATACCTCAACAATGTAATTATGATCAGTGGAAATGGCCATGACATGGGCCCTTTAAAGGTAAGAAGACGTTTAAAGATTTATATTGCGGATATTATCAGCACATCTGAGTCAAATGAACATGTGTATTAAAGGATGTTAGTGGATTATCCCATAATCTACTGATTTAGGGAACATTTACAGATAACAGATTAGGCTAGGATACCGGATAAAGTTAGCAACACACGTGAACCATGAACAGCCTATTAATCCGTTCTCCTAATGTTATTTCATCCAACGTGGAATTAGAGAAAAAGGGCTTCTAAACGTGATTTTTTTTGTGGGGTGGAGGAATATAATATTAGTTACATATAACATTGGGGCACGTGTGATTGTAATGAGTGGAGGTGGAGAAATTACGATCTCCATTTTGGAGTAGGCCTACAAGCTAGTATAATAAAGTGAACGTTACACAATAATAAGGAAGAGAGCTATTTGTGTGATACATCGCTATTGATATTCATTTAGAGTGCATATTTGAGACTCCCAAACAGTAAACAAAAACGTAATTTATGGGTGAGTGTTTTTAGTGTATTCTGTTGATTATTACCTGTCTGTATTATGTTGCAGCTCAGCTGATTTTGAAATGATGGCAAAGGGAGAGGGACCTAAGTGAGAGTGAAAACACAAGGTAAGTTTAATACTACTGTTGTATATAAGTAAGCATACTAAACATGTATTCTATCACTATATTATATAAGTAATCTTGTTAGTGTATATTAGTAACCTACTGTATGGCAGGTGGAGGGGCAGTGATGTTACAGGTGGAGGAGCAGGGATGTTACAGGTGGAGGGGCAGTGATGTTACAGGTGGAGGAGCAGGGATGTTGGCAGGGTGCTGGCAGGTGGAGGAGCAGTGGTGCTGGCAGGTGGAGGAGCAGTGGTGCTGGCAGGTGGAGGGGCAATGGTTAGTCCAAATATTTCCATTGCAACGACTAATGGGTTTGATAGCAGCTGTGGATTTTTTTGGGGGTTGCTGGATGTTGAAGCTTGGCTGCTGTTGTTCCTCTTCACCTTTTTGGATTGGCTCTTGCTTCCAAGATGTCCATCTTTTAAGGTTTTTTTTTTCCTGTCATTTCGGATTTGTTTTGCCTCGATTCTCAGCCTCAGCCGTATGAATCTTCTAATGATTTTGTCTTGTACTCCACAGCATGACGGAAGCCTGCTGGAGAGTGCCTGAGCTTCTTTCTCCAAGACACCCACTGCGTTGGGGAGCTGCATGAGGGAGGAACCAGTCTTGGTCCTAAATAGTTCCTCAATTTGGTGAATGAAATCAAAGGCTTCTTGGGAGGGACGACAAAGAGCACCTGCCTTGAAGTCTTTTAAGTTCACTAAAATGCTGTTTTCACCAGAAGGACTCTCATCATTGTGCTCTGTTGCAATTTTGCATTTTTCACAGATGCTGGCAAACTTGATGACTTTGTGGACGATGTAGCCTGCAAGATGGAAGAGAATACATTTCTCAGTTTTTGTGAGGTGAGGTGCTGCTCTGTTCACCGCCATCAGCGGTTCCACTCTGACTGATGGAGTGATATTTTGCTCCACTGTGTCCAGGAAGTCTGCCAAAAAGCTACTGTGGTCTTCCTGGTAGCTCCCAGAGCTGATGGTGGTGAGGAACTGCCCCACAGATATGATTCTCAGTGCATGATGGAATTCCACTGGAGTTGGGACAGGATTTTTAGACCTCACACAGCTGAAGGTATTTTCAAGGCAGTCTTGTGTGAACCTTGACGTTAACACAAACCTGTGTCCTCGTGTTAGCATATCCTCCTGTATGGCCAAAATTGATGTTGTTGCCATTATCACCCCTGTTTGAACAGGCTTCCAACCTCCCTTTTCACCAATCTTCATCCCACGAAACAGATGGACGATGTTCTGGAGGAAGGTGATGGCCTTTTGGTACTCCTCCATCTTGAGCCTGCTCAGGGCTGTAATTGGATGGCGAGATGACATGAGATCAAACCAACGATCAACCTGCTCCAGGAACCATGCTGTCGTCAAGTAGGACAGAGGGCGGTTTTCTTGCTGCACCATGTATTTCAGCCCAGCACTTGTAGCCTTACTGAATACATTTAGAGCAAGACCAACCTTCATCTTTTCAAAGTGACTTGGCTCGATGGCTGCAGCTGAAAGATGGGGAGCTATTTTTAATGCCATCCTTTCTTGAAAGGTCAATAAGTCCTTAATGGGGACCACTGAAACCTCGTTAGAGGGGAGGTTCTCTCTGTTTACGACATCCTCAGGAATTATGAAGACCTGCCCATGGACAAGGGCACTTTTTAGATTTTTTACCAGATGTGGGACATCGGGCATGAAATAAAGCTGCCTGTCTGGTGTTGCTGGATGTGGCACCGATGTTTTATTTTGGTCGACCCCAAAGGATTTCCACATGGCTCGGTTAGGGCTACCCATGTCTGTGGTGACATCAAGCACATGTAGCCCTATGGATGCTGCCCTCTGTATTACCTCAATAATGATTGGCCTGTACTCTGCTCCATTGGTTGAATTGCCAGTGTAATGATATGCCACTACTTGCTTCCACCGTGTTGTGTTTCCAGCCAACATAAACACACAAGCATGTGTTGCCACTCCTGTGTGACCTGGTAAAGTCACATCACCATACAGTTTGCCTGTAATCATGTCCAACTCCACACTTGGTGTGATTGCCATTTCATCCAGGGTCAGCACACACTCCCTTTCAAGGTCAGTCAATCTATCTGCCTTCAATTTTAGGAAATCAAAGACCTCTGTCAACACACCAGGCTCAAACTTAACACATTGCATTCTTCTTTGCAGTGTTCTTATTCCTGGCAGGGGAATCTGCAATTCCTGCAGAGTTTTGTAACCGGTTGGTCCGGCAGCAAAGCGAATTTTTAAAGCCTTCTTAATTGTCTCATTGCTCCATTTCATCCCCTTTGTGGTAAGTCTGCCCAATGCCTTAAGTTGGTCTTTTGAAAAAGTTTTCTTAAATTTGTTGTCCCTAATTTTCATTGTTTTCTTGAGAGCTGCATTTTCCTTCCTTATTTTTCTTAGTGCAGCCTTTGCTTTTTTGGTGATTCCTTCTTGTCTCTTTAATTTTTTTAATAGATCTGTTTGACTGGCTGCTGGTTCCCTGGTATGCTGACTGGCTGCTGGCTGACTGGGTGGTGTCCGCTCTCCCTGTCTCTCCTCACTAGCCATGTCCTCTTCACCCTCACTTTCCCTTCTCTCAGTCTCCTCATCCCTTCTTCCCTCAATCTTTGAGACTAATGTAAGTAGAAGACATGGCACTGTTAATTTTCGAACATTCAAATTATTATACCACTTAAAAATAAGAAATATTACTTTTTATTATTAAGAGTTCAGACTTATTATACCTGTGTCACCTTTCACACTATAGCTGTGATCATCAGCTATGGGCTCTGTATTTACAGGTCCCGGGGTGCATCGTGGTGCAGGGGCCCTCCTCTTTTTGACCACAGGGCGATGCACAAAGATGGTGGGAATAGCATCTGCTCTCAGCCTAGTCTTGCCCTTTTTGGTCTTGACAAACTGGTCTGCATCAAAATGTGCCTGCAGAGTGACAGAGTCACACACACACACTATTTGTATTAAACCAAACATTAAGCTTCCCAATGGTGTGGTCTTCGTTTTGTGAAAAAGTGTAAATGCAGTGTTTGAATATGATTACCTCACATATTTTGTTGCGGTTGTCTGTTTTGATGGTTAAATTGCTCCTGCTGACTTGAGCTAGCCATTTCTTCCTCCTCTCTGTGTCAGTGGGGAAGCCGTACATTCTCATTCGTACTCCTTTTTCGGAACGATTGGAGCATCCCCAGGCAGCACAGCAAACCATGGTGGAGACGATATGCCAGGACAACACGGAGGAAAAGGCACAGACAAACTGCATGACATGCTAATCAATGTTTATTGAATTCCATGTATTTACAATGGATGTTCCTAAAACAACACATTTAACATTATAATCATGCTGTTGATAGTCACCTGTTGGCCTCCTGTCCTTTCTGAAAGTCATAAAGATTACATTAGTCATTTAGATTAATTAATCTTAATTAATTTAGATTACTTATGTCCTCAAGTACCATGGGATTACTGAAACCACCATGAATTAAAAAAATGGTAGAAATGAATCTAATCTCAATTTTGAAGCATTCCTTGCCATCCCCTCCCTCTAAATATATCAAACATTAGGAAGTGATGCTCCTGACTACCATACCTGTTTAAGAAGATAATATTTGTTTTAAATAATTCAAAGCAATACACAACAGCAACAGGCTCTTTAACCAAGGCAACAGCCTAACATGTATATGTTAACAAGTAAACTAGCTGTTCACACTATTCCTAATATTACCCATAAATATTAGCAGATTCTATTTTATTTTTAAAACATATTGATGTAAATACATACACATATCGGTATTTAGCTTAAATATTGCAAATCAAAACCTTTATTCACTACTTATTACCAAAAATCGTAGTTCTATCTCCGGTAATAATGCATTCAAATGTCCCGCCACGAACTTCCGGGGAACTATTGAGTCTCCCTGAACCACGTGACGATCAAGCATTTTGGACTTCCGCTGTCGTAACTCTCTCTCTATATGGCGCTGGGTGGACCCAAACGGAGCACACGTAAAAACTTCACAGGAACTCTTAACAGAAATATTCCTCTTATTGCAAGTGTCCAGGGCAGGGCAAGGCAAGACAAGGCAAAACTGGACAGACATTTCTGAGAGACTACATACAAGGATGTGAAAAAGGACTGAAATACAAGCAGAACTAATCACACAGGCATGACACGGCCAACCTGGTCTCACAAGAATGCGTGACTCCACCACGACTCCTTAACACCGCAGTGCGTGGTGGAGTCACGAACTTTGCTACATTTACGTGTCTGCACCACGCAAACAACCCCAATGTAAAGTGAATGAGGCTCCTTTGTCGTGGTGCACACACGCATTTCTACAACGTCCAGCATTGAGCTTTTATTCTATAAAACGTTTTAAAAATCTACTTTATAGCTTGTAGTAACTCACGGGAGGCTTCTTTTATTTTATTTGTATTCATAATAATTTTTATTTTTCATCAGAATGTATTATGGTGCATTATTCACCAATTTTTGTTCTCAAAAAACAGTGCATTGTGTGTAATACAACTGTGATTTTTATTAAATTAGTTAGTTTTTAAGGAAGGCCAGAGCTTCAGCTGTGTCAAATAGATTGTTCCCTTTAGTTAACGTTATTTAAAAGATAATTATATTCCTATTTGATCAAGTCCCCTTTATTGTATTATGGACCCAAAGAGCTGAGCGTCCATTCCCATTGGATAACGGAGGATTTTACACCCGGAAGTAAGTATTCTCCTTACTGTCGATTGATTTTATTTACAGTGATATCTGCACTACTCATCAACTCAAAAACACCAGATTATCCTTGTTAATTACACAACATTGATTGGTTTAAATTGTGTACAATGCTTTTGTATTTTCCCCTTTCGATTCGGAGAAACAAATATTTTTTCGGAGTGTGTGGAAGGCAGAAGACACTACACTACCCAGAATCCTCAGCTATGGGACTACACCATGTGCTTAGAATGTGTCCGTGGGTGCTTGAGAAGACTAAATATTTATCTGCAGATCCCTATAAAGCATATTCATTACTCGTTATTCTCTACTAATAGTTAATTAAAAACTGTATATAATGGCTATTTTGCACATCCCTTTCAAGATTTCAAGATTTTCTAAGGTTTATTGACATATCATATACACAACTACGGTTATGCAATGAATGAAAAACTTGGGTCACACGTTCATCAACAGTGCATTACAAGACATCTATCGATATCTGTGTACCTCCACCATTAAACATATTCTGCACATTTCTTATACTATCTACATACATCTTATAAGAGTATAATTAATATGTATAATATCAGTTAAAATAAGTGCTTCAACATAGTTGAACATTGCAGGAAAGTTGATTGCAGGGATAAAATGAACCACAATGACTTTTACCTTCTCAACGGCTGGGAAAGGAAACACCTCGCTTTTGGAAGTGCAAGCATTCATGCATTATTAACTGCAAACCCGACGCGAAAGTACTTACCCCCGTCAGGCAAACTAGACCGAAGAAGTATGATCGTCTTGGTCTTATTGTTAGCGGGAGACATCCATCTGAATCCGGGCCCGGTGCAGACAAGAAGCCATTCCTGCAGGCTCGAGGAGCTAGCATCACAACTAGCATCACAACTAGCATCTCTTCCGCTACAGCAACAACTACGCGACGACAACAGAGACCATGGAGACAGCGGAGACCGAGGAATCAACGGAGACTTCGACATTCCCCCGGGGACGCCTCGGCAGACAGACACGCATGAGGCAGTGACGAGAGGAAGAGAACCGAGATCCGAGGGAACAAATATCCACCATGTTGTTAGCCACCCTGCTAGCATATCGACGGCTAAAGCTACAACGGAGCCTCCCTCCCCCCACCACCCCACCGCTCCAAGCACCACGGCAGGCCGCAAGCCGTTTGCTGTAACGGACAAAGACAAATATCTTCAAGCTGACGACATTATGCATTTAAACAACAAAAATGGACTACATATTTTTCATCTGAACACTAACAGCCTGAGACACAAACTGGCTGAACTCAGGCAACTGTTCATGAACGGTAAGGCAAGCATATTATGCTTTTCTGAGACCAAATTGGACAATTCCATTACAGATTCAGAGATTGAAATTGAAGATTATCTTGTAGTGAGAAGGGACAGGAACGTGAATGGAGGTGGTGTCTGCATGTACATACATAAAGACACCAATTTCAAAAACCGTACTGACCTGCATCATGAAAATATTGAATCTGTGTGGGTTGAAATTCTTTTTGACAATGCTAAATCTGTAATAGTCGGGACAATCTATAGACCACCGGAACAGAGTGACTTTTATGATACATTAGATGGGTGTTTGGCTGATGTGGGGGATGTAGAGACAATTATTATTGGAGACTGGAACACGGATATGCAACGTAAAGACACGTCCGTCTTCAAGTCCTTCAGTAGGATTTGTGATCTGCACGGCTTCAGCCAGCTAATCACCCAACCCACCCGGGTATGTGAAACAACACAAACTACCATTGATCTCATTCTGACCTCTGACAGGTCCAGGATCTCCAGTAAAGGGGTTATAGCATGCGGTTTAAGTGATCATTATATGATATTCTGTACCCGCAAAAAGCTAAAACAAAAGGCCGGCTGTCACAAAACAGTCATATCTAGAGACCTCAAAAACTACTCTAGCGAGGCCTTTAACCTAGAACTGGAGAGCCTGGACTGGTCAGATGAGCTCAGTGGTACACAAGTTGAAGAAACATGGCTTGGTTTCAAAAACAAATTCTCTGCAATACTCAATGATTTGGCCCCCCCTAAGAACAACCAGGGTAAAAAATCGCGCTGAGCCGTGGATGCACTCCGGCATACTGACCGCCATGAAAACCAGAGACAAAAAATGCTCTGAGTTTCATAAAAGTCAGTCAATGCTTTCCAAAAGCACGAGCAGTGAACTCCAGGCCCACGTGACTGAACTAAAAATTGAAAGAAACAGACTAAGAAATGACGTAAGCTCCATGATCAAAACTGCCAAAAAGAATTTCATCAATGACAAAACTGAGGAAAACAAAAATAAACCCCGTGAACTTTGGAAATTACTCAATAACCAGCTTGGCTGCAGTAAAAAACTCAAAACGAGATTTTCAAACGTAAACATAAAGACAGATAACAGGCTCATCACAGACAAACTGGATGTGGCCAAGTACTTGAACATTTTTTTCACAAACATAGCCACAACTCTTGTAAATAAATTACCCTCCCACTCAGGGCTTTTTGGAGTAGATCACATCATGACCTACTACAAAAACCTAGGGGTACGCAAAGATGATTTCAGTCTAGCAAGGGTAACAACAGCAGAGGTACTCATTAAACTGAGCGCCCTCAAACCTAACAAGGCCACTGGCCACGACAATATCCCCTCCAAATTCCTCAGAGACACAGCAACCGCCATCTCACCAGTCATAGCTCACATAATTAACCTCTCCATAAAACAGGGAAAAGTACCCAAAGACTTCAAAATTGCAAGAGTAACCCCCCTGCACAAAAAGGGCAGCAAATTGGACCCAGGCAACTACCGCCCTGTTTCTATACTTACCTCCATCTCGAAAGTCATGGAAAAAATAGTATATGAACAGGTCGAAAAGTACCTCGCAGAAAAGAAACTAATCTATGAATTTCAATCTGGCTTTAGAACATCCCACTCCACTGACACATGCCTTCTTTATTTGAACGACCACATCAAACAAGAGGTGGACGAGGGTAAATACTGCGGCATGGTGATGCTGGACCTACAAAAGGCTTTCGACACTGTCAATCACCCCATTCTGATTGACAAGCTAAAAGCAATTGGTTTTGATAAACTATCGGTGAGCTGGATGCAATCCTACCTGGAGGGGAGAGAACAGATGGTGGAGGTAAACGGTACTCTGTCCCCCCCCCCTCCCAGTGAGCTGTGGTGTTCCACAAGGAAGCATATTAGGTCCGTTACTGTTCCTAATTTATGCAA